CCGCCAAACCACAAGGATTTCCAGACGAAGTGTGTTTCCTGTGCACAAGCAACGCCGCGCGTTCAGCCAGCGTAGCGAGAGAAGTTTGAGGCTCCGAGCTGGTGGCCAAGCTCAACCGCCGCATCGAGGAGATGAAGGAAGAGCAGGGAAGCCCAGCCGAGTCGACTCCTTCGCCGGACGTCGTTCGCTGTTCGCGGCCGTAGGGTGGCGATGGGGGGACCAAAAACATCCGAAAGGCAGGAAGCCGGGTTTTGGACGACCCGCAATTTTCGGGGCATCGTTTTTGTTTGTGGTTGTTTAGGTCACGGAGCTTTGGACTTTGGTTTTGCGTCGACACTTTGTGGATTTTCCGAATCGGACCCACTAAAAGGGAAGAACACTTTTTGCGGAGGGGTCAACAGCAACCAAGATGAAGACATCCAGTTTGTGTGTGTGTGTGTGTTCGAGGATTTGAAGTGTTTAGAGGGTCGGGGGGCCTGGGGTCTCCAACACAAAATCGGAAGCAAAGAACATGGTCTGTGTATCCCAGTGGGCCAAGAAGCCCAGTTGATTCATTCAAGCTCCCCTCTGTCCCAACAAGGAAACCTCACTATTGGGTCCGTTGAAGTGGTTGCATCTGGGATCATCAAATATTTCGTTTGCAGGGCATCTCAGCAGTTGCCCAACCTGAAGCTCAGAAACTTGAGCCGTACCTGAGTTTTCAAATGAAGGGGGCGGGTTCATTGTTTGCATTTGTGGCAAACAGGGGAAACCCCCGGCAAAGCCAGTGGTTTCTCATGGGTTTTCCTTTGACCACCAAGGGGTCCATAAAAGGCAGAATATGTTGGCCTAAAACCTGGCTTGAGGTTGACTATTGGGGAATGCTTTCCCAATTGTCATGGAAGCTGCAATCAACCAGGCAGGAAAGGAATACCCCACCTCTTTTGTCGAGGACGAGTTGGACGTGATTGATAGGTCAAAGCGCCTTATCATTTCGGGTATTATGTTGTTTCGACCGCTAAATCGAGTTGTTTGTCAACCATTGCAAGGGTTCCCAAGGGAGGAAGCCATGCCATGGCTCCATGACAGGAGTTTTGACCGTGGCTATTGGCAACGCGAACCCTCAGAATGGCGGAGGGTTTCCCAACTCCAGCCAACTCACCTGCCCGGCTCTCCATGCGGTTCAATTCCCCTTTGAAACCGTTCCCGTTTGGAAGGCTTCCCCGAATCTCAAAAGCGGCTCGAGGTGTCGCTTGGTTTCCCTTTTGGTCCCAGAGGAAGCCGAATAAGCACGGGTCCCACGTTCGCACAGGCGCCGAGCGCGGCAGTCCTTCTTGGACAAGGACAGGGTCTTGAACCATCGTTTCTGTCAACAAGCGGTTGTGGTCACCCCACCAATTATACCAGTGTTTGAACTCTGAAACATGTAACTTGCTGGTGCTCAGTAGGGAATGACCTAGGGTGTTGGGAACGAACCTAGGAATTCCCTTAAAGGAAACCACGAGGGATTGTTTTTATAGGGATCATTCCCTGTTTCCCCTGCCTATCGCACCAGCAAGATAAGGGGAAAGCCAAACGATTCGGCTTAAACTCGTTTAGACGAGGGACTGCTTGCCCCTTTCTCTCGGAATCCCGAGTCTTGCAGCGGCTCGATCGTCATTTTTGAGGAGCCTTGGGGCTTGAAAGGGAAACCAAGAGGACACCGATGCCATTTTTAGGGAGTCTCAAAAAAGACACCCAAATGGCTTCCACTCGGGCCACAAGCCCCAGTCTAATACAATTAATTACTTTCAGTTCTACAATAATCATTCAACTCCCTTATTAATTCATTCTGCCAGATCAAAGGCTGACCTTTTAGACCTTTTGCCATTTGGGATTTCCCTCATTTTCCACTTCAACCAACAAGAGCTCGGCTTTAGCATCTGGGATCCGTTTGACTCAGCCCACTGGTGCGTCTAGTACTCAATTATGAAGCCAATGTTCTGAACAATGGTTAGTTTTGGGTTGGCCAGGGAATTTGGATCTCCTCCAAAAATATTTGAATCCAGATTTTATGGTGGGCTGAATATCAAGCAGAACCGGAACATGCCGCAGATGTGTGCTAAAGGAATCTTTGCGGACGTGCGATAAGGCAGTGGTGCATGGGAATCGAACACTTTGGCACAGACAGGATTATGTACCACAACGCGCACTGGGTTCACATTTTGCGGCACACTGTTGGGGAACTGTCAATGAAAGGTTTCATCACCAGAACCCGAAAGGACCATGGACCATATCTCTATGACTGGTAAATAAGGTGACTGTCAAATGTTCGCTTTAGGTTCTGGTCTTGAGATTTAAGTGAGAATCCCTGATTCAAGCAAAGACTTCCGCGAAAATCATGGCCCCAAACTCCCTTTCAAAACCGTCCCCGCGGCAGGTGCTTCAATCTGGTTTCCAATTCGGGGAGACTTAGGGAATTGGGGAGCTCAGCTGAAAAGAAGCCAGGAGTGTTGCCAGGCAAGAAACACAAGTCACAAACTAGGGCAAGCAGGAAAATAATGGCTCGCTCAGGACGAATTTGTTGGCTCACGGTCCGTGATTCAGGCTGCTGAATTCTGGTATTTTGTGGGTGTTTCCCACAATGTGGTGGGTGTCCTTTGGTACTACAATGGTTTGAGGAATTCTTGCATAGTTGTCCCATGTATTTGTATTGTCAGGACACGTCAAGTGGGATGATATCCACTTGGACTTGGAATGTCTTGTCCAAAGCGGGGACCTTTTCTATTCGGGACGACCCCGCCAACCGCCAACCAGAAGGAGCCGATTAGCCCCAGATAGGAGCCTCAATTTAAGCCCTCGGGAGTAGGGAATTCTCCCTCTGGGTGAGGCAAAAGCGGCGGAGATCCGGACAGATCGGGATGCGAATGGGCCCACCCGCCGCGGATTGCTGTTCTACCTGTCCCGTTCTGACAAAGATCCTTCTGTCAAATCGAGAAAGCAACAGGGAGAACGGCTGGCGGATGGGGAAGCCGCTGGTGAGCACTTTCGGGATTTGGTCAAATAAAACAGAGGGAACGGCGGGTTTTGAAAGAGCGGTGGTTGAACAGAAAGGGACCTCAGGCTTTTGGATGTTTCGGCTGGCCGTTTCCGTCCTCCAGTGGCTTGTTTCCGTTTTTCTCCTTGGAGGGGGCCGGTTTTCAGAACCACGCAGCCAAGAGGTGCCCTTTTTTCCAGGGATTCGGGTGCAGGTCGAGCTCCAGCAATCCATGGCAATGGGAGGCGAATGAGGAACTAATGGGTATGGGGTTCCCTTGATGCAGTTCATACAATCTTCATGGTTTCCATTGGTGGGTGCGAGGAACATCGTGTATATCCAGCATTTGCAGATTGGCGGCCGCTGCCTGTGTTCTGGATGCTCACGAACCCGCGATCAGGGATGAAAAGCCCATTCAGGCTCCTTGTTTGTTTTAGGTGCTTGAAGAACAGTGGTAGGGTGTTTTCGAAATCATCAAGTTCGGCCCTTCTGCAAACGGCGTTTCTCACACTAGTGAGCCAAACGCACGAGCGGGCTTGGGAACTTCAAGAACGTGCCGGTTGACCTCCTCCAGTAGATCGTCAACGTCAATGTATGCCAATGGGTTCGAAGGCACGAAATAATACGGCAAGTTTTTTTTTTCACGGTACTGGCGGCGCACTTTGACATGTGTTGACCTGGGATTTCTTAATCCGGGTTTCCATTGAGACCAACCAAGCGATGAATATGCAGGTACTTCTAGTTACCTCTGAAAGAGGCGGCGCTGCCTTAGGCCATCCTTTCGGTTTGCAAGTTCTGGCCCGTCGTCGAGGCTCCAAAAGCTGATACACATTTGATGTCTGGGCCCTTTGTGCAACGAAGTGACGGGCACGACGACCCATTTGGAGATTGAAACGAGAGCTGTTGTGCTTCCTACCAACAGTCATGGTTTGGCGAGGGAACCATGCCCTACCAAAGGTAAAACCGTCAACAGTTGATTGTAAGCATATTTGCCTTACCACAACGGGTCTCGGAACCGAGACACCTCCGATGCCAGGAAATCCCAGCCTGAGGCCGGCAAGATGGGGTGAGATCGGGATGCAACCCATGTTGAACAGGGCTGCGCGATGGCGAGCAAAAACTCTCGCCGCAATGACCGGCCTGATTTGGGGCATGAAGTGATCGTAGTGGAAGCTGTCAGGGTTTTGAAAGACTGCGATCCATTTCAGAAGCCGCAAACTTTCCACTCCCATGATTGTTGGCTCCTTTTCTTGTTGAAATTATGTCAGTCACCCAGGCCTATTTCAAACCTGCGAGTCCGCAAGTTTGAGCAAGCGGCCTGCGATTCTCAGTCTGTTTCGGGAGGTCACGGGGCCTTGAAGCGTCAAGCCATGGCCGATTCAATTTTCAAGGGCGCGGGCGATAGAAATAGAAAACTAGGTACTTTGGCAATGGTGGCAATTCACTGGTTGCCAAAAACAAACAAACTGGAGACATTGGCTTGTGTGCGAGATTCATGAACCCTGACGATTCTCTCACGCACATACGGAACAAACAATCGGTGGGGGAGCCCTGACCCAAGTCGACGGGGCGGAAGCCGGCTGCTTCTTCGTGCCGCTGGCAATACCTTTTTAGTCCCTACTTGAAGTAAACTCGCTGAACGCTGCAGGGGTTCGCAATCGGTTTTGAGTAGAACAACACGTATTCAGTCAGAAAACACGTTTTTGGGTTGGTGTCATCCACACGGAAGTGGCGCGACCAACAGCTTCAAGCTCCGAAGATCCAAAACACCTTGAGCCGTAAGAGGATATCCATTGCCCACAGCCGGGCGACTGGATGTGACCGTTTGGCTGATGAGCCAAGCGGATGAGCCATGTTCAATTTATCCCAACTTATGACCTTTTGGCCTTTTGGTTTCAACCAGTGGGGCTACTATTATGTTCAATCCCGTATATATGTTCCAAGGTGCGGAAAAGAGTGATTGGACCTTTGGCCACTTGCCAAACCAACCGCACCGGGAATCGCCATGTCTGTGCGGGGCGCCTTGGCGTGCGCGGGCGAAGAGTTTCTGAGCGGCGTCAAGGCCAACGTTGCGGGATGCCACGAGTTCTGGACCAATCCCACAGAGGCGTGCGGCTAAGAAAACCTGGCGGTTCCCAGCCGTGCGGTTCCTTAGGTCTGTAGGTGTTTAGGGTTCAGTGGTAGTTTCCACTCAACCACTAGCAGTTAGACTTGTGGCAGGGGATCTGGGAACAGCCCAAAAAAGGAAACCAAAAGAGGGGTTTGTGCGCGGGGTTGTTTGTGGGCTTGTGCTTTTTGACACCAGAACGAAACCGGGCCCCATTGTAGGGTTCCCATTCGAGAAATCAATCCAGCAACACCAGCGTGGGGGTCCTCTACAAAACACAAACCCATATAAACTCTTTGAACGGGGATAGATCTCTAGTGCTGCCCTCGGTCCTTTTTCGAGGCCACTGAAAGTCTGAGACAAAGGCCTCGTCTCGGTGAGTGTCTAGCTGTGTTCAGAGTCTTAGGGTTTTCGTGTCTGCAAGAAATGCTTTGCCATGTTGCAAGTCACACCCACTGGATCCAGGTTTGTGGTCCGTCAAAGCAGAGCCCACCGGACCAAAAGACTTAAAGAGCAGCTGGATTTTTGGGGGGGACCTGATGGGGTCTTGGGGATGGCAATGTGGGTCGGGCTCCATGGTAGTGAGCAGGACAGTCATTTAGGTACCCCTTACTCGAAGTTGTATTTGAAATGGTTTTGATGGGGTTGGGGATTTGAACCGAATCCAGTCCCTTTTGAAGCCACATGAGGGGTACCGGGAACCAGAACACATCCAAACCACGCCTTAACCACACCACCCAGCAAAAGTAAGTAAGGCGAGTCAGCTTCCCTCTAATTGGTGGTTTGGATTGGTGGTTTGGAGGTTAGGTGTTTTCCCATTTACCCACAAGAACCGGGGTTCAACCCCCCGAAACCACCGGGCCCCACACCACTCAAGAGTAAGGTGAGGTCATGTTGTGGATCTAAGCACCTCTCAGAAGGAAACCTTTTTGTTCATCCCCAAACCGACATTTGGGGACCTTTATTATTGGTTTACGGGCCCAACCAAAGAAAAGGTCAAACCACTTTCCAGGTCCCCCTGAGGCCAAGAAGCAGTACACCACGAGCTACCTCAAGTCCTTAGTCATCTCACTGCTAGTGACGAGTCTGGTCTCGGCACTTCTGCTGATCCCCATCCACATCATCTTCTACATGGCTCCTTGCCCTGCGAGTGTTTCCTGTGTTCACACAACCCCCATCTTCTGCAGCTCCGAAACGTGTTGGTGTGGGTTTCACCCCGTTCTCCACGTCTGTTGGGGTTTCCCTTTAACATCCTTCCCAAGTTGCAAGTCCGGCTTTCCGTGTGGAATCTGAGGTTCGCCTCACCTTGTACTTCACAAACCCCGAATGGACCGAATCTGTCCGGGCAATGCACAGTCACATCACCTTCTACAACCTCCTCTTCGACGCATGCTGGCGACCTGGGCGACACAAGTTTTGCCCTTTACCCCCAACCCCCAAAGCCAACGGCCTGTGCCAATCAATGCGGGCCAACTAAGTTGGGCTTGGGGTGGTTGAGTCCATCCCGTGAAAACCTAGGCATGCAATGGGTTTTCGGCGGACTGTGGAACAAAGTTCACTCACCAGTCAGCATGCACGAAGCCCGATTTGCATCCTGATTGACAAGCTACCTAGCAGCTGGTGCGTGGCGCGTGATCTGTCCATCCACAGTACCTTCACTACTTCTGGATTTTTGCGGGGATGTGTCTGTCTGTGTGTGTGTGTGTTGTACGTCTCTTTTTGAACTAAACAAGGAGAACAAGCCCGGCACACATCCACAATGAAATGTCATAAACCTCTATGGGTCTATGGGAAACCAACAAATCGGGGGTGGGGGATCCCTCAGCTCTTCCAGGTATCTGCCGTTGGTCATCCTCTTCATGGCCAGGACCCGATGTGAGGTGGACCCATCTCAAAAAGCTTTGGGCATGGCGTTGCTCGTTGCTCGTTGGGTCCCACGGAGTGCGGGAGAAGGGATCCCTCGTCGAACAACGTGAGGCACCCCAGAGGCAAGTGGAAGGGGAGATTGTCCGCTCACTTCCGCCCCAGCTTAATTAATAGGGTGACATGTGGGTAAGCAAAGGGATGACCAAACCCATAGGAGCTGTGCCGTCTATTGTTCACCCAACTTTGAGTACATCCTCAAGGTACTACGAGACCCTCTGGTTGATGCCGTGGGTCTAGGCCTAGGCAACCTTGAAATCATGGGTTTCAACCCACGAGGAAATGAACCTCCGTTTGTTATACCTGTAAGAGGGACCAGGGGCTTAATGTTTGAGTACATACCCTGCTTTTGTGTTTGCTTTCAAAGAGACAATGATTTAAACTTCACGAGGGCAAAGAACCTCCGTTTGGTGTCCCTAAGAACCGAATCGGGGCTGGCTACAGAGAAGACTCCTTTTGGACCCCCTTTCGGGGTTCTATGTTGACTTGCGATGAAGACTATTCGGGTGTGTGTGTGTTTTTGCAGTATACCCCTTGTTTGGTGGCTTTACAAGGAAACCGAAGGAACCCCAGCACCTTGGACTCGGGGCCAATCCGCTGAAGTGAGCACCACATCGGCTTCGGCTGCAGGAACCTGGGCCTCTTCAGCTCGAAGCCCTTCTTCTCCTACCTGGACCACTGCCCTAAGGTGCGAGAAGGCCTCACGAGCCTCCCGGTGCAGTCCGATAAGCACCTGGGCAACACGGCACGCCGGCCCCAGCTGAAAAAAGCATTACGAGCCCCACGCCGTTTGATTGATTCATTGCCCCCCACCCCCCCCCCCCCCAAAAAAAAACAACCAATGCTCGTAGATTGACCTTGCCCTCCCCCCCCCCCCCTCAAAAAAAAAAAGCTCGTGCGTTAGATTGATTGATTCATTCCCCCCCCCCCCCCGCTCCCCCCTCCCCCCCTGCCCCCCCAGAGGGTTCGCCGGGGACAAGATAAAGTCGCACGGCGCCACAGCGAGAGCGCTTCGACACGCACGATCTCCGCAGAGGGTTCGCCGAGGTCAAAACAAATTCGCACGGCGCCACAGCGAGAGCGCTTCGACACGCACGATCTCCGCAGAGGGTTCGCCGAGGTCAAGACAAATTCGCACGGCGCCACAGTGAGAGCGCTTCGACACGCACAATCTCCGCAGAGGGTTCGCCGGGGTCAGGACAAATTCGCACGGCGCCACAGCGAGAGCGCTTCGACACGCACGATCTCCGCATAGGGTTCGCCGAGGTTAAGACAAATTCACACGGCGCCACAGTGAGAGCGCTTCGACACGCACAATCTCCGCAGAGGGTTCGCCGGGGCCAAAACAAATTCGCACGGCGCCACAGCGAGAGCGCTTCGACACGCACAATCTTCGCAGAGGGTTCGCCGAGGTCAAGATAAATTCGCACGGCGCCACAGCGAGAGCGCTTCGACACGCACGCTCTCCGCAGAGGGTTCGCCGAGGTCAAGACAAATTCGCACGGCGCCACAGTGAGAGCGCTTGGACACGCACAATCTCCGCAGAGGGTTCGCCGGGGTCAAGACAAAGTCGCACGGCGCCACAGCGAGAGCGCTTCGACACGCACGATCTCCGCATCAATCAATCACTCAATCAATGAATCAATCAATCAATCAATCCAGCAATCAATCAATCAATCAATCAATCAGTCAATCAATCAATGAATCAATCCAGCAACCAACCAATCTCGCACGTTAGATTGATTGATTGATTCATTGCCCCCCCGCCCCCCCCCTCCCAAACCTAGGCGTCTGAAGTTTATGATTGGCGGGGAGCGGTGACAAGGTTTTATGTTTTTTTTTGCAAACGCAAAGGTGCAGAGTTGCCTCCTTGTTCGGCTTGAAGGGGCAATTTGCAATATGTGCATGCACTCTAGACACGTCGAAGGGTGAACAAGTAACCCGTTGCATTTTGAAGTTTGCAGTTTGTTTCCCTTGGAACCGCAAAGCTGAAAGAAGCAAGCGACTTGCGTTTGCACGAATTGCGCGTGAGTTTCTTGTTGGAAAGCGTCCCGCACCGGGCGGGCGAAGTGCTCGCAGAAACCACCCACAACCAGCTGTAACTATTCACAGCCCAGAACAACAAACCATTAACCACCGTAACATATACCTCTGAGTGCCCCCGATAAGTACTTTGACTTGCCTAAGCCATCTGCAACCACACAGGCGCCAAAAGGTCAATCCGACTGCGCTCAGGGTCTCAGCATGCTGCTGGCTGACGCGACAGCGAAGACACTCAGTCGAACTTCTTCGGCTCAAACAGCACACGCCAAGCCCCACGTGCTGCCCGAGGACACACCGGCTTTACACGTTGCAAACGAGAGTGCCAGCGCTATCGTCCGCGTCGCGAGCGGAAGCGCCCAGGTGGTCGTCGTGTGCTACATACGATGCCTTTCGCAAGCCTTGAAAATGGTCGTAGCCACTATAAACTGTACACATCATGCTCGTATACGAACGACAAGCTTTTGGTTCGCTGCGCGAATTCTTCGCAATGAGGCAAGAGCGCGCGTCATCGCAGTTGAACAAACGCATGCGCTTGGTAGATAGCACGTCCAAGACAAGCGCGCCTCGCCGGACAGGCCTTGCCTCCGTGCGTGCTGTGGACGACTCGCGCAGGTGCCTGGCAGGGTACGGGGTAAATGCAGAGCTGAGCGAACCTTGGATCATGGGCGCGGCGGCCATGTTGCAACAACAGCCGCGCATATTTTTCCTGTTGTTCGCTGCCAGCTGCTAGTCTTCTACGTTAAGTTGCAGGCGCTGCCCAAAGCAGGTGCCACAGCTGCTGAGGTTGAGGCCCCGCAGGTCCGCGGTCCGTGTTGCGCGATTCCCGGTCTGCGGGTCAGGCACCCAGCCACAGCCAACAGCAACTGCGCCAGGGACTGTGGCGTCCACTCGGTGCACAGTGCCGGTGGCAGCGTTCACAACCACGCGCTCGCAGCCCAGAAAACCACGATCTGCAGCCACTGGCTGCAGTGGCACCGCTGCGACTTCTGCCGGCTGCACTGGCGCCGCTGCAGCCTCAGCACCAGAGGCGTCACAGCACCTCGCTGCTTCTGTTTGCTGGCGCCTTCGCTTTGCTGGAGCAACAGGCTGGCTGCAGGTCTCATCCCCGCATGTAGGCGCAGCGTGTGCCGTGGACGGGGCGCTCTGCCGCCCGCGGTAGGTGTCCCATGCCTGCTGGCACTCGTGCCGGGAATTGTGTTCGTGACTGAAGACAAGCAAGAGCAGCTCATTGTGAACCGGGTGGGCGCTGGACAAGCTGTCCTGCCACTTGGACACAATGTGAAACACTTGCTCTGCGGCCTCGGTGTCAACTCCACGAAGCACAGTATGGGCCTAGCAGCGCACGAGAAAGAACAGCAGCAGGTCAAAGAACAGGTCACTTAGAAAAAACACCGCTTAGTTAAACAACAAGGCCTTGCCATATCCAATCGAGCAGCATAAGGGTTGACATCCGGCAGGAACCACGTAGAGGTAGGGTTTCGACAACCTTTGTGGCCTTGAAAATGGAGCTTATCGATGACCCACCTGAGGCCGGCCATCCTCCGCCATTCAGTCTCCTCCGGCTTCCCAGCACGCTGGCGACATTGCGTGCGCATGTGGCGGACCACTCCGCAAGCAAAGTCGTACACTACCCACGACACGTGGACCATGTACACAAGCACGTGCTGCACAAAGAGCAAGACCTGCGTGATCGACTCCGTGGAGTACGTTGGCCGCAGCCCCAAAATCTGGAGGCAGGGCGAAACCGCTATCAGCATGCCCGCGGACTTGCGGCCAATGCTTGGCTCAGGCGTGCCTCGACGGACATCGGCCCAGCACTCTTCCGCTGGCCTCTGCGCGGAAGCTGTCTTCTTAGGGAGTGAGTTGACCTCGTAGTGGCGCACGGCGCTGACGGGCAGGTCTGCTGCGTGAGCCCAAGCCCCGTCACCAGTGTCGTACTGCAAGACAATCGAATAGCCCCGAACGACTTCACGATGGCTGGAGAGCTGCGGTCCACGGGGTGCTTCTTCGGCTGGAGGCTGGTGCTGCTGGCAACACTTGCTTCCACGCACCGGGCGGGCAGTGCAACCGCTCAAGAAGCCGGTGCGCAAGCTGGAGCTCCACACTAAGCCAGACCCCCGCTCGTTGCACACAGAGAGCTGCAAACTCCATTTGCCATCGACGACAATGACAGGCACTTCGTCAAAAAGCTTACACGAGTGCCGCGCAGCCAAGTCCTGAAATGCCTTCCGAGCACTGTCGAGTAGAGAAACAAAGTCGGTGGCAATGTGATGGGGTCTAAGGAACAGCTCCACTGTGTCAAACCCGGGCAGCGTGGCACGCGCGATCAGCTTCAACGCGCCCCACACCATGACCTTACTCAGTGACCACACAGCACGCCCATCCATCTATAGGAAGAACGCCTTGCTTGGGAGTGTAATTGACATGCATTGCGCGCGTGGGCGCGCGTACGTACCCTTGCCAAAGAAAATGACCGACACGGCAAACAATTGTGAGAACACAAGGCTTTCCGAGACACTCATGAGGAACCTCCGAAGTAGCGGGGGTGAAACAACTGCAGCTGCGCGCTGGCGCGGAATTGCTTGACCTTCGGCCCTTTCCCTGAAGACACGTTCTTGCGACGCTCACACGTTGCTTTCTGAAATGGTCGTAGATAAAGATTGAAAACCCTCTGCAATACCAGAAACAAATTGTTCAACACCTCAGCCCAGAAGGTCACGGCCACAGGCCACAAGGCCTTGAACACAAACCCTATAGAAATCTAGCGTGGGCAACTAAGACCGGAACGGCTGCTTCCAAGAAGGCGACGAAGTGTTGTCTGGTTGCCATTTGCGTGTCGACCGCAGTGCTCTTCCAAAGAGTCATGTAGATGACGTACAGGGCCGTCCAGCTAACCCCGCCTCGAGCTGCCAAAAGTAGACACCACTGCAGCAGGCTAACCTCCCAGCACATGGATGGGGTTGCAAAGAACCAGCGAGCTCGGCCAAGTTCTTCTGTGCTGCCCTGCGTGGCGAAGACTTTGTGATGCCCTGCTGGAAACGTTCTCTCGTCATGCACGTGCCTCCAACACCACGGGCCTCCGTAGACAGCACCACATGTTGCACACCGCAAAAAGACCACAATGCCGGTGCGAAGCCCGGTGGCGAAAGTCACACAAGTGCTTGGCCAGAGCTTCCATCGGAACAAAACGCCACCATCCAGCGAGCATGCGCCTTGGTTCCAAGCAGGCACGTACTCTGTGGGCAGCAGCAAAGCGTTCAGTCGGCTGCGCGGCTGCAGGCTGCTAGCAGGGGAAGCACGGTCTGTGATCCAGTGCGGGACATATAGCACGATGCGGTCTAGCACTGTCTGGATTTGTTCCTCAGTGAAGCTCTGCTGAAAGCGGGCGAGACGCATTTCACGAGCAGCGCCTGGTCGAGCTGGAAGATCTGCTACATGGTAAACCAGGGCCAGCACACCCAAGTGCTCTAGCGCGAGCGGCGCCAGTAGCCGGTCCAGGGCCATATCACGTGGCGTGCAACAAAAGAAACGGAAAGCTACAGCTGAGGGTTTGGGCCACACAAAGAGAGTTTCTATCCCTGGCGGCTCACATGGCGGGCGCAAGCAAGAAGCACCAATGTCGCGCGCCACATTTTGGCTAGAAGGAAAGGCCTGGCTGTTGCTCGTGCCATCATGTGAATTATACG